AATATATACACATATATATATTAAAAATGTATAAATGAAGTTTGTCTGGTGGGACAGATTGTTAACATTTTGGATGGAGGCATTCTGCAACAGTTTCTTGGTATCAGCACTTTCTCCTCCAGCTGCTTTTTCATATTTATCCACTTTCCATTTGCTTCACCAACTCAACAAAGATGACAAAATTTCTTTTCTAGAACAGAATCAGTTTTAATTTCACTGTCCTGCTTTTCAGAGATTTTTTTTTTGCATGGCTGCTAGCCTAGAAAATTCTTCACACCATCACCCTTTTTCCTTGTAACTCATGGCTCACAAACTTTTTTATGAATGTTTTTCCTCTATCAGTCTAGAAGTGTCATCATGGGAGACATAAATATCTTCCCATTATGTGTTTTTCATCTCTCTTATGAAATCTGGTCTAAATAAATGAGTTCCACTTAGCAACAGACTTAGAGAGGATGAATATATGAATTTTGAGTTTCCATACAAGAAAGCTTTTGAATAACCTATTGCACACTGAATACTGAGCACTAATGTCACATAGTCAGATAACATTTTCCTGAGAATTTGAAATCCCTCAGAAACCAGGACCTATTACTTGAAATTATCCTTAATGTAAATCACAGGCAAAAATTAATCACTAACATTAGTGGTTTAAGAGATCATGTTATGTAGAGCTTTTAACCACAGAAATAAAAACAATTCACAAATTAATTGCACATGTTAATTTTTTTCTGGAAAATGAAGGTCAGGTCCTGATTAATTCTCAAAGCCACCCCAAAAATATTCTCAAGAGTGACACAAGAGCATCTAGAAACAATCTGATAATGTTAGAGTTTTGTTCTTTGGGAGATGTTGAATGTCTGCAGAACTTATTTTGAAAGTGGTCCAGAACTGGATGCAGTTAATAATAACGTCACTTCCTTGTGGTGGAGAAGAGTTTAGCTTTGATAAATTAAAACCGGTAAGCTTTTACGTAAATTTTCTGGAGTAGGTGGACATCTGGCAGATTCAGAAGCTTTGAAATACGCTCATTCTGTGGAAAGACCCCAGAAAGGAATGTGACTCCCTGTTCTCCATAGCAGACATGCCTTTGGTGGTCCAGGTAGAAAGTCTCATTGGGTAGACACTCAGCTTTCAGAGACTTTTGTTTCAAATGTGGTTTCTGGCTTTCATTGCAGTGCGTTGCCGGCACAGAGGACTGGCAAAGGGTGAACACTGAGATCCCCGTGAAGTCTCCTCGCTTTGCAGTTTTTGATTTGGTTGAAGGCAAATCCTACTGCTTCCGAGTTCGCTGTTGCAATTCAGCTGGAATTGGTGAACCTTCAGAAGCAACTGAAGCTACTGTAGTGGATGACAAACTCGGTAAGAGTGTGGTCGTATGTATTAAATTACCTCCGTGGTATCTTTTCAGTTTATGATGTGATTGTTTTGTCTGAAGACAGATAGCTGCCCAGTAAATAATTCAAGTATGAAAAGTAGTCAGTGATTTATTACCTCTAGTTAAAATAATTTTGGTTTGGGTTGTCGAACCTTTCATGTATAGTCAAATGACAGATGCAAACCAAGGGAATTAGCTGCAAATAACGATGCCAAGAACTGCAAAGGCTCCAAATAGTCAAAGAAAATGAAAACTCAAGGAAGTACAAAAATGTTTTGTTTTACTTAGAGTCTTTACTGAAAATAAGGCCAGACATCAGCAGAGTTTAATCTTCCTTGTTTGCCAAATTAAACAGAAGTGAGGAATTTAATACTTACACGAATGCAGAGACTATTTGCACTGGAAGAGAAGCCAAGATGTTCACCACAGTAAAGCATCAGTACCTACACCTACATTAGCAATTTGTTTCCAAACAGCAATGCAGATTTCAATCCAATTCCCAGATTGGCTCTGTTTACTTCATATTGGTTGAATTCTCAGAGCAGTTTGATGCACATGAACTACATTATTTAAGAAGAGTAAAATAGCTCTTCTCAAAAAACACTTTAGATGCATTTTTCTACTTAACAGGGGTGTTGGACTTATTCTGTGGGCTGCACAGAATCTTCAGTATGAACCTAGAACATTTTCCCTTTTAGAAAACTCTAAATCACATCTCTGGTGCAGATGTTCAGCAAAGGGAATAAACTAAATCTAATTTGAAGGAAATGCCCGGATCATAGCCAATGGAGAAGCGAGGAACCTCACCACCAAAGGCTTGAACCTACTGATCCTGTCCTGTTGTGCCAGATTAATTTAAATCAGAGGAGCTTTTGAGGGTTAAATCTGTATTAGTTGTGCTAATATAATCAAGCATAGAACATCATCCTTATCTTATTTGTAAATTTTGACTGTCTGGTCACTAAGTTATTTCTCTTTCTCTCCCACAGATATTCCCAAACCTCCTGGTCGTATAATGCCCACTAGGAATACAGATACCTCAGTTGTTGTCACTTGGACAGAGCCCCCAGATGCCAAGGAGCTGGTTGGGTACTACATTGAGTCAAGCGTAGTGGGATCTGGTCGTTGGGAACCATGCAACAACAATCCAGTGAAAGGCACAAGGTAACAAATGTTAAAGCATGGAAATTATGGTCACCAGCTTTTGATTTACTGGATATTTGCTTTCCAGCCATTAGCAGTAGTAGAGTTAATCACTCTGTGGTAGCCAGCAGGCTGGAATCACTCTTGCAGGTGAAGTTCATAAGAAGTTATAAAAACATATTTCAAACCCTGAGTCTTGTCCAAAAGAAATTTATAATCAACCTTATGTTAGAAACAGTCAAGGAGAAGGAAATGTGGACATTGCTAGTGATGAAAAGAGAAGCAGCTCGCTAGTTCTAGCTATTGTACAGCCTATCAATTTGATGAAAAACAGTACAGTGAGGACTGGCTGAACTTACAAATGTGGAAAACTAAACTGCATAATGTTTGGAAGCAAAGGCCTTTGTTTTGGAAGAATGCTGTAAACATTTCTGGACTGTATAACTACAATGTCAGGAGGACATGTGGACTCTGTCACACTAACAATATTACTTTCTAACTGCTTTTTCACTTGTAATTGTCAAGACATTAATGAACACTCTTAAATATTTGGTATAAACTCACATTTCTTACTGACATGAAGCTCAGTCTCTAGTCAGAAAAAATAATCAAGATTTAAAACTTTGCAAGCTAAATCAGATTTGGGTTTGTTTGAATAAGGATATAATCTTCAGAGTCTAAACAAGTAATTGCAGAACTTGATTTCACGTGGATTGATGTCAATCCAGAATCAGTCCCTGCTTATTATGACTAATTATGCTTATTTGTAATTGCTATGCATGACAACCCTTATTACAATATGTGAGGCTCTGCTAAATACTCTTGGGCCAACTTTGTTGTTTAGCAGGGCATTGTAAATGCTTAGTATACCAGAAGTACTTAAAACCCCACTTGCTTGAACACAGGCACAATTTCCTTTAAGTATTCTCATCATTTATATTGCAATAGCTGTATGTGCCAATATTATATACTTTCATATATACTTCTGTGATTTATATTGTGGTTATATCGAGTTCTATCACTGCATTTTTAGTCAGTGTGATATAATGTATGATGCAGTCAGGCACAGGCTGTCTGTTAACTCTTGTCTTTTCTGGTTGAGTCAATCTCAAAGAATTAGCTGTAGCTCATAGTTTGCATTATGCAGTATATTTTGATGTTTTGAAATTTGTTTTCTGCACACGTCCTGGTGAAAGTAAATGATTTGGAAAAGTCTGTTAGAATGGGTAGGGAAAATTCTGCTCTGAAAATTTTGATTCAGGTTTTATTTTTTTCCCCAAACTAAAATTATGATTTTGAAATACATTTTGGTTTCCACATTACATTTTCTTCATACATCACTGCATGATGTCAGCGTCGGTAGTGCAAGACATGACATTATGAAGCAGAGCAAAATAAAAGTAACTTGAAATAAAATACACTTACAATATCTATTGAAAAATAAATGTTGTTTTAAATAAAATGTTTAAATTTCCAAACCACAATTTTTCTGAAATAAATGATTCCTGTCTTGGGAAATTTTGTGTTTTCAAGGTGGACACCAGAGAACATTTATGAGGTTTTTTATGTGATCATCAGGTAATCCAATAGAAAATCTATTCTAGTAAAAGAATTTGACTGACTTAGATTATTATGTCATTTATAGAAGCAAGAAAGTGAAATAAAAAAATTGGACGCTTTTTTTTTTAGCTCTTGTACAACGCCCAGTAATTTTTTTGAACACTGCAGTTTTTCATTTATGATTGGAAGTGAATTATGGGAACTTGTGCTACTGGTGTCTTTTACTTATGTCATGAAGATATCCCACAAACAAATACAGACCTTACCTCTGCAGATTTTTGCATTGTTTCCATTAAGAAGTATGGATTTTATATACTAGCAGAAGTATATTGTCTGGTAACGCAAAAATGTATGTAGTCTTAAGAAGGAGTGTTGGTAAACAGTATGTCTAAAGAGCCATGGGTTTAGACATCATCTTTGTTGTGTGAATGAGGTCCTTAAATACATTCTGCATTCTCTGACCTTCATTTAAGTGACTGGGGTCATGGTTTATCCTTGGTTTTCAGAAACCAGAATAAATTTTATGGAAGAAATGCTTTCTTCCCTGCCCCCCCCCCCCCCCCCCCCCCACATTTTTTTTTTTTTTATCTCCCCCCCCGCCTTAAGATTTTTATTTTCTTCACAATACTTTCTGAGTATTCCTTCACTGATTTGTTTTAGATTCATTTGCCATGGGCTTGTCAATGGTGAGAAGTACATTTTCAGAGTCAGAGCTGTTAATGCAGCGGGACTCAGTGAATTTTCACAGGATTCGGAGCCTATAGAAGTGCAAGCAGCCATTGGTAAGCTGTTTTCCATTGCTCTTTTCAATGGGAAATATGTTTTTTTCAATTAAGTAAAGATGTTTTCAGCCACTATTTGTAACTAATTGTTTTGTTTTACAATGCTGTCCACAAATAATAATTTATCCATAGATCCTATGGTCTCACAGCCATAGTTTCACAGTCACTGCACTCCAGTCTTCTTCAGGTGTTTCTTGTGAACCACTGTAAGAGAGCACTGCCAAGTTCACTTCATAGGTATCCTGGAAAATGGAATGGCATTCTGATTCCATAATGTGGTATTTATCACCTCTAATGCACACCATCCTATATACAATCAGTTCCTAAGAAATTTGTTTCCATACCTAAACCTAATAATCAGTGCAATGTGTCTTTCGTAAACCTTCTATAAACCTGTGTGTTCTCCCTTTGTTGATGAATTATTTCTGTTTGCTACTGCCTGAACTAATCCAACAAGATTAATGAGATCATTGGGCTAGAATAAATTGTATGTTTGCAACGTCCTTGCTCTTGTTTGTATCCAAACTGCATACCTCACAACCTTAGAGCGGAGAGATGTGGCCTCGAGCAATTTTGTGAGATCATCTTGAAAGGATCAGAAATATGACCTGGAAAATCTAATCCTAAAATAATTGTAGCAAATGAAGAGTACTATTAACTTTCCATATTTATTCTGCTCTGAAAAGTAGACATTATTAAAAGAGCATTACTTCTGAGCAGGTTGAGAGGTATTCTATGCATTTCAAATTTTTGTGAATTCAAGCTTAACATTTTGTGCATAAAACCTGTGATTTGTCATACTTTGGCTGTATTGTTCACTGTACGCATTTCTTCATTCTGCTGACTAAATGAAGAAAAAAAAAAAAGTATTCTAATTCAAAATGTCTTTGCTGTTTTCTGGCAATTACAGGGGGAGGATTGCTTCATGGTGTGTGTCCTGAACTGAGTGGTAACGCTGGTGGACTAACAGACCGCACTACCAGCTGGGAAGGCATGCATGAGTCCTCCCAGCCTATCTTTGACACAGAAGCTTTGCTAAAATGCAATGCTAAATTTAATAGAGACACAATACCCAGTAGCTCTGACAAACTGGGGAGTACAGGAGACAATAACATGAGAGAAATGGTTAAGGACACTGTCGCTTCTGCACCACAAAAAGTTGCTGCTAAGCAGGCAAGTAAGTCTCAACCCGGGGATCTTTTGACACTGCAAAAGGTGACAAAGAAGAAAGATATAGGTGAGAGTTAATAAAATCAATAGATTTCACTGCTTTGGTACATCCACTTCAGATGGTTGTAATCTCTGCTCGTGTGCGCCACAAGTGAACAAGCTCTCCAGTGATGCATCTTCCATCAGACCCATTAATTATGTGCTCAACTCTCCATTAAGATTATTATGCATGTAATGGTATCAGAGACCACTTAACAAACTTAGTGGCTACTGGAAGTGAAACATATAAATCCATTTACTAATTTAATAACTTGTTTGACTGTGTATTAATGTATCTAAGATACTGTATTATTTCTATATCACTTCAGTAATTTGTTAGGAGTCTTGGTACCTAGTCTCTGGGTTATGTACCAGGTGTCTCTGGGTGTGAGGAAACAAAATCTGATTATGATGGTAAGCATGAAAATCTGTGTTGTGTTAGGATATATGAAGATCCTTTGCGGATTTATGCCTAAGCTTCATCTTATCCTCTGAGGCACAGTGCTGATGTTGTGTTTTATCTCTGACTGACAGCAATATGTAATGAGGAAAACCTATCAAGTTGAAGGCACATGCACAAAATCATGTTTTATGTTGTCAACACCTAAATACCCATCGTGCCCAAGAAATGTGGGGCTTGAATTTCATTTGAGTCTTGATACCTGGCCAGTGAACTGAATTTCTCCCCAGGCCTCTGAAGTGAGACTCAAAAGGCTTGTGCAAAGTGTTGAACAGAAAACAAAGTAGAGGCACCTGGGGCTAGCTGACACTGATATCAAACATTAAAGACAAAAGAAAACATATATGATGTAGAATTTCCATCAAAAGTAGGACTTCAGGGTCACAAGTAAGGCTCTTCACTGGTGCATGACATATTGGGTGTGGGCAAGCATTTCCCCACTAGATACAGAAAACAGGTTGGAATTAAGTTAATGATTTCTGTATTGTTAAAGGAAATTTTAAAAAAAGAGGATTATGCAGCAAATTTTTAAATGTAAGTTCTAATAACAGACATGTTCCATTTCTGGTCAGTCTACAGTGCCTATGATCACGCTTCCTTCCATTAAGGTAAGACCATGTGATGGGTGCAATGATAAAATTTGTACAGTGTATAAATTTAAAAGGGAAAAAAAAAAAAAAAAGAAAGAAGAATGGACTCATAAAGTCCATTCTCTGAAGGGAAGTATGTGGGCCTATTTAAAAAAAGGAACTACAATGAACATTGCATGTGTGAAAAAGGGTTTGCTTTCAGCAAAACAAAACAAATCATTGCATCTCCAATTTTTTTATTTCTCCTGTAATGTTAGTTTTAGTTCCTCATTTTTCACAATTCTGAAGAGAGTCCTGATCACTTACATCAGAGCTGCAACTGCAACACATTCTTTCACAATGTTATCAACTTGCTTCTCAACAAACAAATGATCTTGAAAACTAATTCCTATGCAGTTTGGACTTTTTCATTTGGTTTATGTAAGCTTTTATCCTGCATTTCTTATTCCAACTCCAGAAACTTCCTTGACCACATAAATATTGCGCTAAATAGGAAATGCAGGATGGGAGCCACCTGAACTCGGTAATTGAATGCCAGTCTGACTATTGAAATATTACTTCCTACTTATACATTCTTCACGTTGAAACAGCTGCTCCATCTCCACCTTATGACATCATGGTACTTGAGAGTGTTCGTGACTCGATGGTATTAGGATGGAAACAACCTAAAGTCACTGGCGGAACTGAAATTACCGGCTACTATGTGAACTATCGTGAAGTGGTTGATGGAGTTCCTGGGAAATGGATGGAGGCCAACATTAAGGCCATCAGCGAGAGGGCATACAGGGTAAGAGGTTAACTTCTGCTATTGCTGTGGGTGCAAACTATTTCCAGAACAGATCTCAAAGACAGATTTGAATGAGTTATGATTCAGTGCACAGATTGCTGTTCAGAGGGTTTTATATCCATGATAATAAGTTTATTTAGCTCTGTTAAACTTTGCTGCAAAATTATTTGTATGCTTATCTGTTAGTCTGGCACCAGCTGTCATCTGTGAACTCACTACTCTAGACATAGCCTTTATTTTTGCAAGTTGGGCCCTCACAACAAATGTCATTCCTACTGGGCTTGGCAGACCTACCCCTGTGCTTGCTGGTGCTGGAACCAGCTCCGTGCCAGCTGCATTTTGTGATCAGTTCTTGACCCAATTCAGAGACGCTGCTAGCTGCAACCTCACTGAGCTGCTTTACGAATGAAAAGCAATGCCGGGGCTGAGTTTCACCCTGCTGTGAGGACAACTCTTGCCTTAAGTGAACTTGTTCTGTATCACAAGACAGATTAATGTGATTGTTGAGCAATACCCTGCTCTCTCCCTGACTACCAAAGTGTCTGTCAATAGGGGAAGGGGCTCACAATTTGAGTGTTCTAAGACCACTCATGTATGCTCCACCATTGATTAGAGGAAAAGCCAAGATAGTTATTGCCTTATATATGATGTCAGTAATGCATTCATCTCTTCAGGCACTTAAAACCACCTCATGCATTCAGTAATTGTCATTGTGACTTTCTTCTAAAGCCTTAATCCAAAGTTAATAAGTACCATCTTATTGATTCTGCAGATTCAAAACCTGAAGGAAAACATGGTGTACCAGTTCCAGGTGGCTGCTGCTAACCTGGCTGGGGTTGGGACACCCTCCCTACCCAGCCAGCCCTTCAAATGTGAAGAATGGACCATTGCTGTACCTGGTAGGATCCTGAGCGCGAGGTGGAGGTTGCTCACAGCCCAAGGCTGCTCTGTGACTGATTATCTAAGTTATCAGTGCCTTCAGTTTCCAGGGGAGTCAACGGGCACTGAAATTCATACCCAGGCTTGAATCTCCATCACTTTGATTTAGTACATTTACAATGATGCATAATCCCTGTTTAGTCAGTAGCATTTTACAAGCAGCTTGTATTTTCTATATCTTTCCTGCCTGGTTCCTGTGCTGTGTGTGCCACTTTGCTTTCTTGTTTAAATGGTAGACATAAATACCTGTCTAAGGTAGAAGACAGAGAAGAATGAGGTCCTCTAACTCTTGTCTAAATGTATCACTTCAAGGCCAGCTTGCTAGCCTTTTAACACTCGTTGAAATGAATGAAAACAACCTTCATTGACTTCAGTGGACTTTAGAGCAGTCCTTGAAGCAGGACATTAGCTTAATAATTAACTTATTTCACTGAGCTTGGAGATTATTTGTCATCTTTGTTTGTTCATGAATATTTGATCAAGATACCAAATCTCAACAAATTGGACTGTTTTTTTTGGCTAGTCTTTTTAATAGTCATGGGTTGTGTTTATATTGGGTCTAGATATGATACAGAGGAGCTGCACATGTTATGTCAGCTCTGGGTGTACAACATGGTGTCTGGTTTTGGTTTTTGAAGTCTTATGCCTTAGCCCTTGGGAAATTATTTTGATACCACAACTACAACTTTTATTCTTACCTTTCAGGGCCACCCCATGATGTCACATGCACAGAAGTTAGGAAGGACTCTTTGGTTTTACTGTGGAAGGAACCAGTTTATACTGGTCGTAGTCCCATAGCTGGTTATTATGTTGATATGAAGGAAACTGAAGCAAAGGAGGAACATTGGAGAAGTGTCAATGAGAAGCCACTTCAAAAGAAATTCTTGAAGGTAAATAGCTTAAGATTCAAATACTCGTATAATGGTATAACCTTGAGGAAGTTAGCCTTCAATAGCATCATCCTGTGCTGATCATGGTTCCATTTAATGAAATACATAGTAGTTTATGTTGTGCCAAGGATTCACACGTGTAACGCCTGGATAGTCAGACAAGCCAGTAACTCAGAACACAATCTGGTATGACAAGCCTAAAAATAACAGAAAGCACTGCTAAAACCAAATACCATTCTTGTAATGCAGGAGGCAACCCTAGCATTTTCTAGCTCAAAGGGTAAGATAGGTATCTCTACACAAAAACAGATAGCACAAAAATAGATCTGATAATGTGGCAGGCGATTCTTTCTAAAACAACGTACCCTCTCCTCACATTTCATGGCAAACTTTTTGCACTATTATGCTACATCATTTTGTGGAATGACTTCTAAATAAGGGATCAACTGTATCTCTGTTCTAGAGATACATCTAAAGTAGGTTTGCTGTTTGTATTTGACAACTCACTTTAAAGTGTGATCCTTTCATATATGTTTTAAAGGAGTATTTGCAGGTGTTATGATGTCAGTATGATTCTTCAAGTCACTACAATTAAAACTGTATAATTAAATAGGGCATTTCTAAATAGGTGTGGCTGGTACTTATTACCCTGATAATTTCATTTTTCAAAGCCAGAATTTACTTGCAGTAAAAGATTATGCTGTTTCAGAGGTCAATGTACATGAGTTAAAAACATCCTGTTCCAATGGCAATGCTCCTTTTGCAAAGAAATCAATGACAGTAATGACACTGTCTAAATGTTAGCTATGCATACAAGGAAGGAGCAAGCCAAACACATTAGTCACGTCACTCTGAAACTGAAAAAATAAACAAACCACAAGGAAAAAAATATTTGTCAACTGGAAAAGGAGCAAAACAAAAAGAAAGGAAATGTCAAGCATTCAGACTGGAATTGTAAGAAGTGTGAAATTAAAATGTGTTTTGTAACACAACATGCATGTATGTATATTTGCTTCCCCCAGATAGGTGGCCTAAAAGAAGGTGTGAGCTATGTGTTTCGTGTGCGGGCAACAAACCAGGCCGGTGTTGGGAAACCATCAGATGTCACGGATCCTGTCATAGCTGAAACACGACCAGGTTTGTTAGAAATACTTCCTCTTTTTCATCATATTTAAACAGGTTCCTGTTTGTGCATTGTGTTTACATACAGGCTGCATGCAAACAGCCTGACCCCTCTCAAGTCAAACTTTTTACTAAGCAGGAAATGAATTGAGGGTCATATCTTACTTTCTTGTCTGGTGTATTTTAAGGTCAGAACAGATTTTCTTACCATCACTACAGGTTCAGGAATATAAAAATACAATAAAGTTGTAAGATTTGCATATATCTATAGATAAATGCATAAGCAGAGGACCCATTAAGATCAGCTCAACCAAAAGATTCTAACAGATGTAGATTTTGCCCTTCCTATAGTAAACCAGTTGTTTGTGGTTTATCTCTCTTCTTTCTTTAACTTATGTAATATGCCTGAGGAAAGGGTAAAGGAAATTACTTTTTTGGCTTTAAAAACATAATGAAGTCAGTTTGGAGACCACCTTCAGTAGGAATTCAACTGTTTGCTGGAGTCATCCTTGAAGGTTAGCTCCAGTGTGTCTATAATGCCAGCAAGGAACACAGGAACCAGTGCAGAGGCAGAATCTCTGTCCCTGGAACTTCAGAAAACCCCTGAGTTTTATTTAGGTATACAGGTAACAGAGGTGGCTTTGATCGGAGTCAACACCTTTTTGTCACTTAAGTCCCTAACAGAAAACACAAGCATGGGCTTGTGGTTTACTCACCTATAGACTATTTCAGAAGCAGAGGGTTCTACAAGGTGGAAAAACAAACTCCCAGATATTTTAACCAAATCAAGTATAAGGTTAGAATGACGTAAGAAGGTACAGGGGTACAACCCAGCCTGGATCCACCATACACCCTCTTTTCCTGTGACAAGTTCCCTTCCTCTACCTGCAGACTTTCATATCCGATCCCATCTGGGAAGGTTTCTAAGAGCCCTAAAAGAACAGGAACGAAGACAGGCAGCGGGCAGGCAGCGGGCAGGCGGGACAGTGCGGGGGCCTGGGGCAGGCGGCACAGGGAGCACGAGTAGCAGTGCAAGGGCATAGGCAAAGGAGGCGACTACCTGGGCAAACAGCTGCCTACTCTGCCTGCAGAAATAGTCAGGGTTTATTTGGGATGGTATTGACTGCGAGGTGTTGAGCAGACATTGCTGGTGATCATCAGTTCCCATTCCCACCCCGGCTGCCTCAGGAACACTTCCCCGGCATCCTTTCCCGCTTTCTGACTCCCAGGTCCATTTTTATATCTCCTATTCCTGCAGCAGCACTGGCCCAGCCTTCATAAATGCCTGGTCATCAGGACCAGGGCAGCAAAAATCCTAAGAAGCCTTGAGTTAGCTCTTAGTGAGGCTGTAAGTCAAGAAAGTCTGAAAAAAGGAGGTCTGAAGATGGGGGTGTAAAAGAACTGGAAAACTCAGAGTGGGGAGACTGGGGTGATGGCTAGCGAGGCTGGGATGGGAAGAAGACACTGAGAGGAGTGGATGCTAAGTTGAGAGGGTGTAAGATTGGGGTATGAGGACAAAAAAGGATAAGTGTGTGAGTAAGAAGGGCTTGGGGCAGGATCTTTCAAAAATACAGTAGCCATAACTTCAGATCTACAAGCCTCTGAAGCACTAGGGCTATTGCCATTACCTGCAAGTGGAGTAAGGCAGAACTTAGAAACTTATTCTTGAAGACAGCTTGTATACAGCAACCACTTCTAAAAAGAGAATCAAACCAGTAATAGTACTAAACTTTTGGCTTTACTAATCCATTTTCTTTGAGGGTTAATATCTATCTGTCTGACTTTTGATAAAAACTTGTTATCATAACAATCTTCCAGTGTATTAAATAAAGGATTGGTCATGCCATTACAATTAAAAAAAAATAAATCACGAACATAAACTCTTGTGAAGATAATCATCATGACAAAAAAAAAAAAATTTGTATAGCATTTTCAGTGTTCACTCACATGAGGCACATGCCCACCTGGCAGTATGAACTTGAGCAAAACATTTGGTTTACAGACCTCACTGTCCGAGAACGAGGTACATCTCAGGATCATGGCGCTTTTGCAAGCGAGGGTTGGGTTCATAGGTGCAAGGTGTGAGGGATCACAGGAAAGTCAGGGTTTGGCCCAGTGAAATCTCAGGGAAGTTGAAAAAGATCTACTTGTACAAATCTGGTTGACCCATATTTTGAGCTGAGATCTGCAGATATGGCATCCACCAAACTAAGCTTCTTAAAAGTATTAAGAAAGGACAAAAGGCTTATTAAAAAAATTATTTCAGAAACCAGTCTCTTAGGCAGGCTTCCACCTTTCTCACTCAAACCACACAAATCTCATGAACAATCATACCTTTTTTATAAAATTACCATAAGTCTTTTGTTATTGCCCAATGAATGCTGCCTTTATTAACATCTTGGATGGAGACAAAATATTGTCAGGTCTCTCTAGACAATTCCTAATGGAATGTTGCTTTTGGCAAATGTGTAAAATTGCCACACGACTAAGCTTTCTAATCAAAGAATGTAAGTAAATAATGATGACTGAGCTTTCTAATCAAAGAATGTAAGTAAATAATAACCTGAATGAAAATATTTGCTTTGATACAAATGCTACTGAATGCTACTGTCTTTATCCAGTGAAATGTGTAAATGATGCAATACTTGGCATCCACCTTCTCTTGTTTGAAAACCACATTTAATGTTTACAGTTATTTTCTAAAACTAAATGAAGAAAAACCCAACCCACCCACATAAACAAATACCAATCCAGTCTACTTTTGAGCTGTAAGTTTGTCTTTAGACAAAAGCACTTCTGTATGTGTGGATCTCACAGGAAGCAGGGGAAATCCGAGAACAGACTGCCACCCTTCCCCATTCCTGCCCTTAATTCTTGTGCATCTTGGTGCAAAGCAAAATTAGACTCTGATCCTGCATCAGTCACTTGAGAAGGGCTTGAAGCTCAGAAATTAATGAAACACTGTTCCATTCAACTTTTCTGACCAGCTATATTCAAAATGATGTCATGAACTCTAGTGCTTTGACGCTGTCTGCTTTATCTTCATGTTATCTCTTTCCTTTCAATGCTATAAAACACTCAGATAAATGGAGATTTGATATGACATCTAAGTATTTTATTTATTGTGATGACTTTAAGAGAAGCTCTGGATGATATGTTGAAACCACCAAGCTATCTAGAAGAGGGAAACTAAGACTGCTACTACTATGGTAGCCTCCTTGGTTCCACTTTGTAGGATAGGTGGAGGCCTCTGGTCAGTAATTTAAAAAGAAATTTTTTTTTTTTAACTTATATAAATACTAGAGGTAAGCACCAGCATCACTTCTGGAAATAAATGCTATGCATTGTTATCATAATGACAATACTTTAAAACCAATATAAAAGATTCTGTCCTTCAAATGAACCTTCTGGCTGTAATTCCTTGCACGTCGCATAAACTGCCATCAAAAGATTAATGTGCTAATGATCTACAGGAAACTAAACACTAATGAAATGTCAAGTGATGAATTTGCATATAATAAATTAAATTATAAAAAAATTGCAAATATGCTGCTGCCTAGTAAAATATTTGCATACCTTAGACTTCATTTATCATATATTGGTACGTAACTTGCTTCATTACTGCAAGGGCTGGTAAATAACAGCACCAAAATGGGAATATTAATCTCATTTTTCATTAAATGGTTATGGCAAATTATAAATACTAAGAAAGCTGTGTACACAAATTGTCATTACAGGAGCTACTCACAGTGCTGGAAAGAACGTGTATAGTATTAGGATGATGAAACACAGAAATCTCCTTGTATGCTTGAGGCTCATTAAGAATTATGCTGAAAATAAAGCATTTAATCTCAATGTCTGGAATAAGGCTCTTTAAGGTACAATACTTTGTGAAGAAAGTGTGTCATTAGCATTCTGAGCAGCCCAGAATTGTCCTAGGCTAAGTAATATAACATGAGTGCCCTATTCAGATGCGAGATCCAGCTCAGAGCTGTTCGGAAAAGGAGCCTGGACGTTCTCCAGCGCCTCTCGGTGCACACGCTCTCCCTGACGTTCTCAGACAAGTTGTTGAAATGAAAGTTAACACCACAGACGATGAGTTCGCCGAGCTGCCCGAATCTCAGGCGAAATTCCCTTAGCTTCACCGGGGTGCAAGGGGGCAGGATAGAGGTGCCTTTGTGTTTCGGATATGGGATTCACCCCCAGGGCCTTGTAAAGGACAAACTGGGTCACCTTATCCAGCTCAAGGACTGTAGGTACTCGCAAAACAGGGTGGGCGACTTAAGCAGCTAATTGCAAATTTTCCCTCCCTTTGTGGGCCCGGGATTAATGCTGCAGACAGCAGCAGGGCTGGATGCCAAGCGCAGCAATTAAACCAACCTCCCGGAGTGAAGCCAGAGTCGCTGAAAATGTGCCTCAGTTGCACAAGTGAGTCCTGATGGGGCAACTCGATTGTTTCCTCTTCTGCCTCCTGCACCTCTTCAAACACCTGCATTTGCACACGATATTCCATATAGAGCTCTTATCTTATTAGGGATTAAGAAATTCATGCTGCATAATGAAAGCTCTGACTACCCCTTACCACGGAAAATATTGCTATTTGATATTTCAAACATTTAGCAGATTTAGAAGCTTCCTTCTTTTTTTCCCCCTTCAGGTTTTTCCAGAGCAAATATCATAATTCTCATGTGTGCTTAGACTTGCTCAAATAAATCAGTTGATTTATGATGCTCTTTAATCTGTTCCTTTTATAGTTTAGAATAAGAACTGTTCTTGTGCATCAAAGACTGAGGATGCCAACGTTTGCAGCAATTGATGTGCCAACTGAGAAAATGGCAAGAATCTGCTTAATCCACCCTATGAATTATATCTATATAAATTTGTTTGCTGGCTTCTCTGAGAAAGTGGTATCACCTTGTTCTGCTCTTTCAGGAACCAAGGAAATGGTGGTTGATGTAGATGACAATGGAGTAATTTCCTTGAACTTTGAATGTGATCAGATGTCTCCAAACTCTAAGTTTGTTTGGTCCAAGAATTATGAACCAATTGAGGATGACTCTCGACTGAACATTGACTCCAAAGGCGGAAAGTAAGAACCCTCGGTGGCAGTGATAGTCTCATGTTTGAGAGACCTAGGCTGGTCACAGAAATCCATCCTTTTGGATGCATGACCTCACCAAGAGTTATATCTGCCTGTGCTTCTGGAAGGCCATTTGAAAACTGTAGCTTGCTCAGAATGAGTCAGGCCTCCTGTTTAGGCAATTTAGTTATGTTTAGGCATAGGGATAGAAAATCTGTGCTCTGTCATCTTATGACCTGTCAATCAAGGCAAATTATTATTATTATTATTATTACTATTATTGTTCCTACAGTTATTATTTTAAATCTCCAAAGGATAAAATTATCTTGCTTGCAAAATGCTTTTGCCATGTAACACTGTTGCAATCTTCAGAGGTGCTGGAGTAAGCAGGGCTCTCTTCTGACGGCGTCACCACAGCCTGATTTGGTAACTTCCATAATGCTGTACAAGCTTACTCAGTTTCTTCAGGCTTTTAACAGAGAGGAAGAGATGGCAAACGCACAGGTTCAGCCTATGAACTGCCTATGTGCTCTTCTAGTTATACAAACCATCCAGAAAAAAAAAAAGAGTGGCTCACCCCACTCTCGGTATTGCATCTGAAACTTGAATCAGCCTGTACTTATGGAATCCTTTCACGCTCTTCAAAGACTTGACAACATGTTTTTAAGCATGCTTGAGCTAGCTTAAACTAGCTATCTCCAGTGCTTTTGGCGCTGAGAGTTGTACCATCTCCATTTGTACCACACATAGTAGGACCTACCCTGGTTACTACTGTCCAGAGCCCCCGTATTTGCCTGTTCAGAAAAAAAAGCTAATACAAGACTATTTTTATGTAGTCTTAGAGACAAAAAGGAGAGGTTTGGTTCAGATTGATTTCTTTTTTTTTTTTTTTTTTTTTTTTTTCTTTTTCTTTTAATCAAAATGTTCCCCCCTCCCCCCCAAAGGTCAAAAGCTATCTTTAAGGATCTTGGAGAAGATGATTTGGGAACTTACTCTTGTGTTGTTACAGACACTGATGGAGTTTCATCAAGCCACACAATCGACGAGGAAGGTAGACACAATGTCTGTTAAGCATGCCTGTTCTACTGTCACATCTGCTTTTTCTTGCTGCTGTGTCTCTCAGATCCATAAGGCATGCACACCTTATATTATTTCTTTTATGTCTTTTGCAGAAATGAAACGCCTGCTTGCTCTGAGCCATGAACGCAAATTCCCAAGTAAGTGAATCAAACGTTTCTGTAGGGGAGAGCTTTGCATGCAGTGGGGTATTACAAAGCTCCTGCCACCATCAGGTAGGGAAGTCACTACAGTAATTTCAAGTGAAAGTGGTTTTGAACCGAAGATCTAAGATTCCTTTAATTTTTGTTTCTTTCAGTACATTTGTGTATTACTGATATTCTTCCTGATCTGTTGCAGGCTACTGGCCTAGGCATATAATAAGTCTATATAATAATTGGAAAATAAGTATTCCATTGGCTTTGTTTCTTCTGCAGAACAGCCTTTTATACTTATTCAGCATACCTAACCCAATTTGAAAACCTGAATTTGAAAAATTCTCTTACTAATCCAACTGAAGTTAACATAGGTTAAGGTTAACAAAGCAGCCAACTGTAGTAAATGCAGCTGTAACTATCTATATGTACAGAATTTTCCTGTTGGAATTTATTCCCTCCTTTTCTGTAACACTTGACAATATCAACATCCTTCCTGCTGCTTGCGATTGTATTTTTGTCAACTTCACAGACCTCCCATACCTTTGTGATATTCTGGTAGTAGCACAACTTGATTATTTTCATTGGAATGTAACTTGAGTAATTGAAAAAAATAATAATAATTGGATTGTATAATGAAGCCTACTGCACACAACAAGATGAGATCTAAACCTTGTCTCATATTCTCCCACTGCATCCTTTTCTTCTTCCTTCCAGGCACTAAAACTCTTGCCTATGTTTTAACATCTCCAGCTTTGCACATGCACTGCTGGCACCTCTGCCAACTCAGCCCACATCATGCCTCAGCCCAGTCAAAGCTTGGCGGCAGAAATGGCCTGTCTTTTTGCCCACATCATCTCTCTTTCTCATTTCCTTCTGTGTCTTTTCCATATCAGCTCTATCCTTCTCAACATATTGTGTCACCTTTTGACAGCTTAATGACAGCCCAAGCATCCCCTTGCTTACTCCTGCTCCTCCCAGATGTTTCTTCCTTAATTATATCTTAGTCATCACAAGACCTTAATGTTGTCACACGTCCTTACTTGCCCCGACCCTTCTCTTCTGGGTGCTCTTCCACGCTTTCTGCTCATAATTAATGTCACGAAACAAGCTCCTCGGGACACAGAGAGTGTCTTCTTTTTTGCACTGTGTTAGGTAACAGTACACTTCTGGCTGTGCGTGAGGTTCCAGGAGGCACAGGCAAAAAGGGAGATCACTGCAGAACATATCCTCATGTTTTAAGGAGGAAACTGTCTTATTTGCTTTAGCTACTCGAGGCCCTGTGGATACTTAAAAAAAAAAAATTACAAATAGGGTTGAGATACATCTAGCTATGGCTATAAGGCTAGAAAAATAATAATGAGCTCCTATGGATTAACATAAAACCTTATTCGTATCTCCAGATAATCTGCTTGCGGATTACCCAAATTCTCTACCAAAAAAAAAATTAGTTGCTAAGCATTTCTGACTCAACATGTGCTCTTGCATGTTGCTTTGTTTGTACTTCTGAACTGCATTTAATTGTAACTTCTGCTTAGAAACATCTGCAGCCAGTAACTCCATGGGAAAATGGGTTGCTTGAATATGCAGCCTTACAGAACGCAACTATGTATGGGCACAATAGTGTATCGGTTCTAGGTAAAAAATAAATTGTTCCAACTCTTCAATTTAGCAACTGCCCAATGACTCCCTGCCAAGTGCTCATGGTAATTAGTGATGCTATACAAATAGGATGTAAAACCTTGTAAGCATGATGGCTGGAAAATGCCTAAAGTAGCTGTCAGTTGCTGCTTATGGAAATATTTTAAAATAAGACTTTTGCTCATGGAGGACTGTAACACAGATTCATGCAGTCCCTTTGCACTGGGGAGTGAACGACCTTTTCCCACAAAAGAGTCCTTTTGCATCCTTTCAGCTCTTTATTTAACAGCTTCTGAGATACAACCCTCTTTTCCATGTTAGACTAAGATATTCATAGTTAATTGCATGCACATCAAGTGGGGGTTTAAAATTGCCGTAGAGCTGACAGTGAAACAAAAGCAGTGCAGCCTGATGTCTATTCACACCCTCTCCCTCTTGCTTCCGCTGGCTCCTGTAGCATTTCAGTAGCTTTGTTTTGAGAAATTATGCAAGACGTGAGATTCCTTTTGTCTTTTACAAGCGAAGTGATGCACTGGGAGAGGAAGCTTCACACGGACCATTTGCACTGCTGGGGCACACTCTTTTGGGGTTCTTCTTTGCCCTGCTTCCTCGTGGTAACACTGTCCCTCCAGACTCCTTTTTAAGTATTTTCCTCTCTCTGGTTTAAGCCTGTGCCTTTTTCATAATTGTCTTTTTTCCTGTGACTATTGCCTCACCTCCCAGAAGCCTTATTTTCACCAGACATAGGTCCTGTGCCACTGAGGCACCAAAAGCATACATGTGGTTGTGGGAGGGTGTAGGTGCAGGGAAGGGGTGAGTGTGGGAAAGGAAGACACGTAGAGTCCTCACCCCCCTAACTTGGTGTGGTGGTGGGGTGGCAGCTCTGCTCCAGAAGTTACCCCGGTCATTTAGGATGGTGCAATTAGAAAGATGAGAGAAATCAGACACTACCTCAGTCCCAGTCCTCTCCTGCTGTAGCTGGGCTTTTGCATACATGAGGTAGAATAGAATAGAATAGAATAGAATAGAATAGAATAGAATAGAATAGAATGGAATATTTAGAAGGGGAAAAGAACCCTGTCATGGGGTTTGTCTGGGAGGAGGTATATCTTTACACTATCACCAAACTACATCATCAAGCATTTTGCAATATGTTTGTACACTGTTCTCAGCTGTTCCATGTTATGTCCTTACAATGCAGACTTTAGACTGCTGTGAAAGTAGAGATTGGGGTAAAGTTAACATACAGCATACATACTCCCTGGAATATGAGTTTGTTGAAAATTTGGGCACCCACTAAAACAGCAAAAAATTATGGAAGCCAATAAAATGAGCGATATGCCCCAATATCAGAGTCTAAATGCTCACGATTAATGTTGCTGATTAATATATCTTAACAAAAAGTTAAAGCAAGCTGGGAACTTTTACTAAAAAGAAAAATGAAACATAAATAAATAATGTAAAAAACCCAAACTAAAATTACCTGCGGTACTCTTTAGATGATTTTTTTTTCTTGCTAACACAAGGAATTGATGTATATGCAGGGGATTTTCATTATTCATAGGTAAACAAAATTGAGAGATTGAGGGTGTGTTGTGATGTTTAGTGAATTCTGGGAGATGGAGGTTCTGCCCAGCAAAAGATCAGAGTGCTTACAAAAATCTCCCAACCTGGAGCTCAGCAGCTGACTTTCTGATCATGCTTCGTGCTTGTGGTTTTTTGGTGGTTTTTTTCCCCTGAGTCAATTCACTGTCTTGCAGTAACATTGTTAAGCGGCTCATTAAACATGGATCTGTGCCATACGGACTCGCATCACACTGCAGAGACACTTGCAGTTTACCTTTGAAATAGATTTAGCCTTGTACTAGAATGGAGGGGCACTGGCATAACTCAAATCCCGAACACTTCCAGTTTGCACAGACGTAGTGATTGAAGGAGCAGAAGATTAAATCTTGTCTGTCATCCTATGTATATGAGGGTGGAAAGGCATTCTGTTCATATGAAGAGCTATCATAAGTTAGTTACTTTGCATACAGTATCTGAGTATGAAAGGGAAGAAGTGGCTTTCTGATTACAGAAGAAAATAGTTGTTGGGGCACAAGCAAAGTCTATGCTTCATTCTTTTCTTTCTGCTTTGTAGCTGTCCCACTTGTCTCTGAGTTGGCAGTGGAAATTTTGGAAAAAGGAGAAGTGAGATTCTGGTTGCAAGCTGAAAAACTGTCTGGCAATGCAAAGGCCAACTTTGTATTTAATGATAAAGAGATTTTCAATGGAGAGGTAAGCCTTTTCATTGCTTACAGTTGTTTCCGTTTTTACGAGTATCAATGAGTACTAACGTCTCTGTCTCCAATATACTTACAACTAGTGTTCCACACTGATGCATTTTCATGAGAAATAACATGTCATTGAAAACATCACAGAAAGATTTTGTCTGTGGTTCTGAGCTCCAGCTGAATTCTACTGGATAAAGTGGAGTTAAATGACTTCCTGCCACCTTTGTGACTACCATGTGTTCCATTAACTAGTGGGGACCATAGGAGTTCCTGCAATAAGGTAGTCCCAGGTAACCAGCTACTGTGGTCTTCAAGGAGTCACTGCAGTAGCCCAGATTCATCCTAACTTCTTCATCTATGGCCCTAGCACACCCTTGTGTTCGGTTCTCACCTCTCTCTGCTGTTTGGAGGAATCTGTTACACCAAGGGAAAATTGCCAAGTGGTTGTTTCCAGCAGCAAAACTTGTTACTCCCAAAGACGTGATGTAGCATGCTTTTGTTGCAACACTGATATCAGTTAGAAGGCAGAGATGGAGCATTCTACACAAACTTATTAAAATGTCATCACCTCAAAGAAATTGTTATTCTAAAGAGATGCAAATCTAAATTTTCTAATGAAAAAGAACATGGTACTCACCATAGAACAGGAGTGTCACATGCTTCTATAGCATTAGCAAATAGGCTTCACCTTTAACACATTACTTACTTATTTGGTTTCATGTTTAGAGCTGGAGCTAGAGATAGTGTCAATCTGAATAAGTGAAAATCTGAATAAAGAAAACAGAATTTCACCTAAAGATACTATTTGACAAATATTTTCTGACTCTGATATCCATTAATTATTGCTTTACTTTCCATTCCTGAAGAAATATAAAATGAAGGTGGACCAGAAGACTGGCCTTGTTGAGATGATTATGGATAAACTTGAGGACAAGGATGAAGGGACTTACACTTTCCAACTGCAGGATGGAAAAGCAACCAACCAATCCAGCCTTGTCCTTATCGGTGATGGTAAGCTAATCTATATTGCACAGTAGGCTGGAAAAATTATACCGAGGTTACCTCAGTTGTCGTCTTTGCTTTCCACTGTTTTCAATACCAATAGATGTTCCAGTGGTTTTTCATGTCGCAATACTCGCCTGCCTCATATAGGACAGGGCATGTGTGTGAACTGAAATTTTTAAAGTTCTGGGAGAAAGGGCAATTGTTATAGAAATGTAAAATATTGTAGCCTGTCTTGGTTTGCTCTTCTATGGGTGGAATGAAAATTTCCCATGTAAAAAGCCCATTCAGGCAGGGCCAAGTAGCTGCACCTCTTAGAGCTTGAGCAGCTTGCTGACTCTGCTGCTACTCGTTTGCCTTCCTACCGAGAGCAGAAAGTAGCTGTATGATTGGGGATTACGCTTCATCAGACATGAGACACATTAAAGTCCTGATGACTGCAAGCAGCTAGGAAAGTTGGGTTAGCTGTAATCAGCTTCTGACACTTTGAAATGTTCAGTGAAAACCTGACCCTGTGGCAGGATTCTCATCGACCTCCCAAGGGACAGAGTTGTACCTAACTGTTATAGTGACATTCGGTACCGTACAAATGGCATGTGATGTTTAACCTTATATTTCTTGCTGGTTTTAATTCCTAGTATTCAAGAAGCTGCAGGATGAAGCAGATTTCCAGAGAAAAGAGTGGCACAGGAAACAAGGTGATCATATGGATATTTATAAGAATCACATATGTGTTAGTCTGTTAAGGGATTCTTTATATTTATATATGTTGATTCGAAATAGATGCTTTTTGTTCTGTTATATATATTATATATATTTGTTTACCTTCTAAAGGAGAAATAGGAAAAATAAAAACACATTAAAATATAACAGTACTCTTATCAAGAAAAATACATTTGTCTTTGGTTTGGTATCGTGAATATCATTGATGTGACCTTTAAAAATATATCTGTAATTTTAAACAGGTCCTCATTTTGTGGATAAACTGGGATGGGAAGTTACCGATGACTGTAACGTGATGTTGAAATGTAAGGTAAGGGGCAAGGAGAACACTGAGAACAATGTTCAAAGCACTTTGACCTGCCACTACTTAGACGGTGAGGGTGGGAAGGGACTAAAGACTTGCCCTTTGCTTGTGTACTCCCAGCTGCACATTGGATAGTGCCAGAGCCTCTGAAGGCCAATCGTGCTGGGGCGACTGCTCATTGCATGTTAACAAAATACCTTGGAAAATAGATGCAACTTTTTTCTTCAGGTCCGTCAGCCACCCACCCAGGAAAAAGCACCTGAATAGGAATGACAGGTCTTTGTAAATCCTGGGACTTTCTCTTTTTTGCCAGCTTTATGTGTGTAGAAATCCCCTTGGCAGGATCCACTGCTTCCCTGGGCTCCTTAGAGCTGCTGGTAGTTCTTTTCTCTCTCTTTTCACCCCTGCTGTTTTCCCTCTTGCAGCCCTCATTTTAAAATGGAGGCCTCCAATAACTCACTGCGATCAAGTCATAAAACTTGCTGTTCTTTTATGAGAGACATGAACAGGCTAACCCATGCAACACCAAGTTCCCCTGCTCAAATGAAGAGAATAATTACAATGTGGTTTTCATCCATCTTAGGTGGCTAATATCAAGAAGGAAACACACATTGTATGGTACAAAGATGACAGGGAGATAATGGTAGATGAAGAACATGACTTTAAAGATGGCGTGTGTACTCTGCTGATATCAGAGGTGAGTGACTGTCCTTGTTAGCCCTCAGCTGAAGTTAGTGCTATGAATTCAGTTGAACGATACAATCTTATCTGATATTTCAGCAGAACAATCAAAAAAGGAAGTGGGTTTTAAAAATGGAAAACCTTGTGAGGCGTCTGTGTTTTAGCTAAAGCAAATGTCTGTCTATAACTGCTCGTTCAGATCTTCGGGAAATGATGACAGAAGAGATAACAAGCTTGTCATTTCCTTTGCATGTCAGTTTAACAACTGAATGAGACCGCATTTATGCTTCACACGGCATTTGAAACTCATTGTCTCTCAGGCTTTCGGAGGACCACCCTCTCGGAGTCACCAGAGAGGTCTGCTCCATACCCAGCCTTGCTGCAGACTGGGGACGTGACCTGCGTCCACCGCTTCATCTCTTTGCTCTCGGTTCTTTGGCTGAGGAAGGGAAGAAGTATCAGGGACCCCTGGGGGGTACCCCACGGCTACAGGCCAGGACCCCCTAACCAGGGCCCATCCCACCACCCCAGCCAGGAGCAGGGCAGCTGGGGGGCACTGGGGCAGCCCCAGCCCCGGGCATTGGGCACCTCCCTGGAGACGGGGATGGGACATCAGCTGGGTTCAGGAGCAAAATCTAGATTTTTATACAGTAACTGTTCTGAAAACTGGTTTTACTGTTACAACATTGCAGTTTTCTAAGAAAGATGCGGGCACTTATGAAGTCATACTGAAGGACGACAGAGGAAAGGACTCCAGTGAGCTAAAGCTTAAGGACACAGGTCAGAGCCACTTTCTGCATGCTGTCAGCTACACCGGCTGACAGCCTGACTGCTCACCTGCAAGCGGGTTCAGGCTAATACAGGCAACTGCATTTGTCACCTTGCTGTGGTTTTGTTTCTCCTGTGTGTAAGATCATCTCATGAGAAAAAGTGAGATTTTTCAGTTCAACTAATATTTGAATACAGCTTATTGCATCTGGATTCTGTATAATTTTGTGAGAATATGATGACTAATGCTAAGCAAAATGATAACAGGTTTCCTCAGGGGGCCATCATTAGTGTAAGTCTGCAAGTATAGAAAGAAATTATAGAACTAGATTATTTTAGAAGATTTCATGTTTTTATTATGTTTTGCCATCATTTATTTAGGGGCCTTTCCACTCATTGTGATTACTATATTTTTAAAATTTCACTTATGTTTCCAAGCAAGGGGAGAACAACCCTATCCATCAGAAAGTATATAGATGGGTTAGCATTCCAACTGAATAGTATTATTTACAAGAAAAAAACCCACAATATAGTTTTCTCTAGCTGCAGCAGTATTCATCAAGGCTGCTGTCAAATAAAGTCTGGTAATTGTGGAATAACAAGCTATATTTCTGAATTACTTAGATTTCTAATATGCTTTATAAAGTAGGTCTGATTTCTTTTCCAAACCTACTGGGGAGAATATTTCAGAGCCAGTACTTGCCCTATTATTGACTGTGCTTGAGCTGCAGACACAAAGTCTTAGTCTCTGGATTTTCTTTCCACAGCTTTTGCAGATCTGATGAATGAAGTATGCAAAAGGATTGGTAAGCACTTAATTCTCTTTTCAAATGAATGACTCATTGTGACACTCAATGAATGGCTGCATGGCTGCATAAAACCATGTGCTCTTCTTTCAGCTTTATCTGCGACAGACCTGAAAATCCAGAGCACAGCTGAGGGTATCAGACTGTACTCCTATGTTACTTATTATGTGGAAGATCTAAGAGTAGGCTGGGTGCACAAGTAAGTATGCAAAAACTTTGAAAAAGTCAGTGCAATTTTATTTTTCTAGACTTTGGAAGAACCTGGATATATGAGAGAGATGAAATCCAGGTTTCTTCTCATTTCTCATGAGTCCTCCTCTCATATGAGTTAGTTTCAGTGAATTACACCCGTGTGAAAACAGTATGAGAATCAGGTGGTGGTGGTGCTGGCCTCTCCTGTCGTTTCCCTCCTGAGGCAGATAGTCCCACGCCATGGGATACTGTCAGGGCCGTGCTGCTTCAGAGCACTTCCCACCTCCTGGACAGGAGCTGCATCTCTCCCTGGATCAGTTTTAAGGAGTGATGCAAATATAACCTGGAAGATTGACAAGCCTTAAAAGAGGCGAGTACGAGTTCAGAGATACCTAGCCTGGAGTTCTGCCTGTCTGGAAGCCACAGTTCACAGGAACTGGGACAGACACATCCTCTTAACGCGCGGATTCATGTTTAAGAGACAAAGCAAGTTTCAGCATGTGCCTGGGGGAGTAAAATCCAGACAGCCCTTCTTGTGAGCACTACAAACCTAACCAAGACAGACAGAAGAACTGAGATTTATAAAAAGAATTTGAATGCCCAGCTCCCCATAAAATTAATGGGAGTTGCATATCCAAATCCACGAGACAGCTTTGAATTCTCAGCCAGCGCAAACAGCATGTGCTGGAAAACCCAGAGTAGTAAACAACTTAGATTTGATTTAATAGTAATAGATCTGAATTCTTGCTGCTTCACTTCCTGTGGACATGGTAGTAGTTAGTCTTTAGGATGGAATCTGAATTACTGATCTCTCAGTAAAACTCATGTAAATGAGGCACAGAATACCCAGGATGTGCTGTAGCAGTCTGGCTCTAATTATTGACACTGATGCTAACCAGTAACGCTGTCAGAGAAATGAAAGCAGTTCGAGGTTTTCCTGTTTCTTGGCACTCATTTTGCCCTGGTATCACCAGGAGTCCTAAGCATTTCAAAACTGGAAGTGAATACAAAGTATTCTGGATTTCTTTTTTTTCTCTGTGGAAGAAGATATACTTATGTCAAAGTATGTTCAACTGTAAATGCCAAAGCATAGCAGAGCATCAGAAAACATTCCAAGCAGGCAAACACCATTTGTGACAAAAGTGGGGCGGGGCGGGGGGAGGGTTGTAGGTGCAGTCCTATATAGTTTTCTTTTGCCCAAGCAGAAATAAACTTATGCTAAGAAGAGAACATGAACATTTGCGGATGCATGGATTACCCTTCAGAGATGTGGGTTTTAAATTTGTATAACTCTTCTGCCCCCAGAATTTGTATAACTCTTCTATGGTTCAGGTCATAGAGTGAGATGTTTACACCATGACATCCTACTGCAAGCTTTGAGGAGATCTAGACCTTGAACAGGGAAAGACTGCCGTGTCAATTCTGCCCCATTGGCCCACAGCTTTAGCAAGAATTTGACTTCAAAAGTTTCAATATGGTGGCATACCATAGCACCTTGGAAATAATTTAGTAACTGCAGATGTACTCAGTGAGTCACCATGAGCAAATCCCATTTATACTCCAGTAAAACGAAAGGGTAACATTGTTGTGCGTTTTTTCAGCGATACCCAGATTAGGTTTACAGACCGAGTGAAGACTGGTGTCACCGGGGAGCAGATCTGGTTGCAGATCAACGAGCCAACTCCACAGGACAAAGGCAAATACACAATGGAACTCTTTGATGGTAAAACAGCACACAAAAAGACAGTGGATCTTTCCGGACAAGGTAGGCCGTTCCCTCTGCTAACATCATCTGTATGTGGGCATTACACTGCGGCTGGGCAGGAGCATCTATACCAGGATCTTGCTACAGACCTGCTACTTTTTGGGTTGCATGTCTCTGTGCATACCCAGCAGCCTGGCAGTGTTTGTGGGGACAGAGCAGTTTCTTTTCCCCAACCTGTGCTCTCAGGTCATAAATTGCGAACGGCCTTTTCCTATTCCAAATACACACTTGCAGTTTGCCTACTGAGCCATCAGCCCAGTTCCTGAGCTATCATACGAACCCCCTTGTGTTGCTGGCATTGATTGACAGTTTTAAATACAAGTTGTAGTACTGAGTGCCTTCTGTATCTCTCCCTTCCAAGTAATATTTGGAGGAGGAAGTGAGGGACAAGTTTGTTCTGTTACTTTCCTACTGCATTTCTTTGATGGATATAATAGGGCTCCTTATTCTTCAGAGATGTCAAGACTGGTCCCTTTCATCAGCATGATGAAGGACTGTTAGGGGAACAGCTAAAATTATTTGGACTGACTGTTGGAAGCTTTTACTTTGAGAGACTTCTCAGATCCTAGGGAACAGATTAACTCCTTCCAAACTGCTGAGTTTCCATTCCCACCTGTTCCCATCCCTAAAGTTTCACTTTGGCTCTGCAGACTCTGTGTATGGGCAATAACCTTATACTCATCTCCCTGTTGCTCCTTCTGTACTCTATCCCCACCTTCTGAGATAAAAGATTTCTTCTTCCCTTTCAAAGTGGAGAGGTTGACCTCCCACACGATGGTAGCTTAGCCTGAATTTACGAAGGAGACAGCAGTTTGCTGTTTGGTTTGTTCATGGCTATCAGTGTGATGCTTCAGAGCAGATGTGAAAAGCTCTTAGAAAAAAACAGATCTCTTGTACTTCTTAAGTTAGTAGTCTCCAAAGTGGAGTGTGTGCAAGATGATCCACCGGAGTGCGGGAAGAAAATATGAGAACTTCAGTAGCACATGTATATAAGTTATAAATAAATAAACATACATATATTGGAAGTGCATGCTAAAAAAATTTTTACCGATAGAGGTGCATGATCAAAAAGGTTTGGGAGACCACTGCTGCAAGCTATGATTTAGGTGGTCTTTTGTGGGTTTCTTCCTTTGTTTCGTGAGATAATGTCAGCCTACTGCTCTCCTGCTCTTTGTCTTAAAGCCTGACTTTTATAAGAAAAAAAGTGTGTTTATGTACTCATACGTATATGTAACAGGTGCCATATATAAGATGGCCTTTATTAGTTGAACCATTCAGCATTTTAGGGCTTATACAATATACATGCATCTATCCATTAATATTTCTTTAACAATGTCCACATTTTACACTTATTTCTGCATTTTAAATTTAAACCTGTGATGAATTATCCCTCAACCTACCTTAAAAATCAACTTTTCTCTTTTCAAAGCATTTGATGAAGCCTTTGCCGAGTTCCAGAGATTAAAGTAAGTATTATGCCATCTAAATACAGTAATGGCAGCCATAAAATAATTACAGTATTTGTTTGGTTTGTGATGGAGCTAACTATATACTATGAAACAAATCCTAGTCCTGCAGAAGCACGTAGGAGTTTTGCATGTGACATATAACGGTTAGGTAACAAAGAAAAAGCAGTATTGCCAAACGATGAGAGAGATTTTCCTTAACGGATTAAGGGCAGTTAGAAAAATAAACTATTTTTCAATCACTCTAAGTAAACCTTAACTGAAATTAGACTTTCTTTTTTTTTTCTTTCAACTCCAGGCAAGCTGCGATTGCAGAGAAAAGTAAGTGAGCCACCTCTGACAATGATTGCAATAAACTGTTTATGAAGGTTTTCTTCCTCTCCAGGAAGGTTGTATGTTGGAAAAGAGAGGGCATGTATACATGTGTACATGCATGTGCTCATCCTAAAATGAGTTTGTCCTTACACCAAGGAGAATCAAGGAGAGTGACCTTTTAGTGATTTAACATTGATGCACATTGCAGCTAATCACACTGTAGTTATGGGTTATGTTGATTTTTCCCATCTAAGCTCCTGTTCTCATTACCAGTTAGCCTTCTTTAAAAATTAGCTGCATTGCTGAAATCTCTCATGCATGTTCTCTGCACAAAAGTCACTTTGTTTTCAAAGATGGAGGAAATCACTTGGCTAGTTTTGAACTATCTAAAATGTCAAATGACTCTGCATTACATACAGAAATGGGTAAGAAAGCAACAGAAGCTTCTGCATTGCTTAAAGACAGATCCTTAAATCTCATACTTTTGCCTGTGTGTCAATTCCAACACAGCAACTAAAACAAAAGTATGTATTAATTAAGGATCAAATCATTAGAATTCAACTTGAATTATTAAGCTTGATATTCTCCCTGTTTACAGAAAAACACATGGGAAAAAATGTAACACATCATAAAGTTCTCCCACTGCAGATGACATTCAGACCTGCATTAAAACAAGGGCAGAACTAGCATTTGAAAAGTTATTGGAGAAAAATGTGTAGAGAGATCTGAGCTAACTCCTCCTGGACGTACACTCCAGATGGAGTGAGGTTTGGAAATGTGCGGTGACCCCTACGAGTCCCAGCTGAGAGGACACGAAGGATCAGTAATAGCCCTGCCCTGGGCATTTCATTTCTAACCCTGGAGCATTCATGAGGGACTGGCACATTAAGTGACATAACACAGTCCCGATCCTGGTCTCATAAGGTCATTATCTCCGTGCTCCACAGCACATCTTTTACAGAATAGATTAGAGAGGAACGTTCTGTATAGTCATTTCCTTCCTCTGCCAGGCTCCACCAAGACTTACAATAAATAAAATCCATACTCCAGAATAAGTGCAACAAGTCTGCATGTGATCAGCTTATTTGTATTTATGTAAGATTCCTATGGGACTTTGAGCTTAAAACTAGACCAAATATCGATCTCATTTACACCCACATATGTACAAAGCGGTGGAACTTCAGTGCTGTCACTGAGACTGCCTTTGTATTTAGATCAAAACCCAATATCCACCACTTTATTAGCTGTCATTCATTTCCTTTTGGAAACACAACATTTTTAGTTTATGACACCAAAAATTTAGACTGCCAGATCTCAAAAATTCAGATTTTTTTTTTTGTGCACTCAGAAGTAACACTGAATTGATAGCAAAATCTGAGGGACACAGCACATGTACTTTAATTCCCCTCTGTAAGTGATTGACACCAGCTATTAACACATCTTTTGCTGTGAAGTCAACGTTTTTTAAAGTCCAAATGGCGTGCTAAGGATGCCGAATAGTTCTCTGCTAGTGCAGATATCAGAGACAAGTTGTACATAAATAATATAATATGAAAGAATTAGAGAGGAAACAGAATCTGGGACACAGTTCATTTTGAGACACTAAAGAAAATTATGTTTCTTTATTTCCAGATCGTGCACGGGTACTTGGAGGTTTGCCCGATGTTGTCACCATCCAGGAGGGCAAGGTACAGTAAATTAACTGAAGCTTTACATAACAGCCCAACAGCTTGAATGACTTTCAATGATGGGAAAATATTCACCTTTTTTTTTAAGATTCCATCTTTAAAATCTGCTACATTATTTATTCATCCATCCATCCATCCCCTGCCTTCTGTACATAATTCAACAGTCTTGCACAGATGGGTTTATGTATTCAGGGCAGTGTCTTTTCTTAAGCATTAGATAAAAGTGAGATGACAATGTGAGTTGAGACTAAAACTCCTTATATAACCAGCTCTTTAAAAATTCATGCACAGGTTTCACAGCCAGATTTTTTTGTAACAGGGGTTCAGAGAAGTTTAATTCCTTTTTTACAAGATAGCTATTCATTCTATGTTTTTTGCAGTTAACTTCCTTGCAATGTGGCAAGGTAGTCACACCTGTCCAGGCTGGCTTTTAAATGGTTTAAAACCAGTAAACCATAACCACTCAGTTCTCGTCCAGACAAAAGAAGAAAGTCATCTCTGTTTCATCAGGGTAAACGGGAAGGAAGTCAAAAGAAGTCACTGGTGTTGCACTGGATTATATTAGCAGAGTTTAGCCGAAAGATTATTTTAAGGCACTCCCAGAGGAACATGGCTACAACGATGCTTGAGCATAGAACAGATGACCCAGAAAGTCATTTCTCAGCCTCACAACCTTTTCCCAGCACACTGCTTCTACAAGTTGCTGCTTAATAGTACTGAGACCAAGAAGCGGCTGCTCTTCGCTTCCTGCTGGTCTGCCACTAGCCAGTTCCTCTTTACAGTGTGTGCGAACATTGAAACGGGGCACCTGAATGTGACTGAAAACCTGTAACCTGACAACTACAGTAAGAAAGACAGCTGCTTGATATTTCTGTCTATACCTGGCAGTAGGTCAGCTGGGTTGAAAGTATTTGATTAAAAGCTGAGCCAAAGTGCTAAGAATCTAAAATCTTGGTCTGAATCGCTTGAAAATGTGAGATATAACATAGCCAACAGATAGTGGGCTGCAGCACTTCTGGGAAAATTAAGTATCTTGGCATTACAAAATGAAATAATACTTGATTAAGCCTTTCATTAAAGGATTTAGCGGTTTGAGAAATGCTGTAGAAGTAAGAAGCACTCATATCAGCATTGCAACTGTAAGTAGAAGATAGAAAGAAACAGAATGAATTCTGCAGATTCCCAGCTAATGCAGATTCTCAGCTAATAGTGCTTGTGCTTGGAGATGAGATTCTCATACTGCTTTAGCAGGGGTTAAATTTGGGTGGTTATTATCAGTTTTAAGCTTTCTGCCAAAAGCGAGTCGATACGAAGTTGAATATGAGCTCACTAAAGCAAAATGTGTAGTGTTTATAAAAACGGAGTTTATAAAAACTGAGTTGCAAAATCTTACCCAGACACACATTGTCCTTGACAGCAAGGACATTTGTGGTGTTCGAATAAGTGACTGAAAAACTCCCAGAACTCGAGACAAATATCCTTGACCTTATGTTTCTGGATTCAGTAGGTGATCATTTTGAGAAACGGAGTAGGACAGAGAGCGATCAGGGAAAACAGTGCTTGTTTGGGTGGTGTTGGCTCATCAGTCTTTTGTTTGCATATGTGCTGGCGAGAGGGGAATGCAGTTCTCTGTTGTGTAATTCATGCAAATTGCACAATCATCAAGGATTTTGAAAAACAGTAAACGAGGTAGCAGAGGACTGGCAATTGCAAGCTTTGTTTCTGAATACAAGTGCAGCCATAACTACAGAGTTTTATGAACAGCTCGGTATCCCTACGTTGAACTTCCAAGCATATGCATATCTCAAACTTAAACTTAACACCGTGACTGTGATGCTATTTATTAGCTTTTTACATGTGAAATGAAGGATATGTGTGAGAACGAGTGAACCAGTGTTTACCCAGTGTTAATCAAACAGCGTTCCAGATGGCCTAAGAAGCTTCCACTGATAGACATAAATGCTCTTCAGCAGTGTGATATAATTGGAAAAGGCTAAGTGTCAGTTCATATTAGGGAGGAATTCGACCTGACAGAGAAAACTAGCATAAGTTTTGTGTACAGCCAGCCAAATTAACCTAAGTGGCTGCTTTAATGAAGGCCTGTAAGTAAGTAAGGGGTTTTATTTTTAAAAGGAGAGGCTTAGGATTCTGAAGAGCACTCTCAAACCTAGAAGCAACATGTTGCATCCTTCTGTTCACCAACTCCCCATTCTGCCCTTGTGCCAGGGATAGGTGCCCTCACAGGTAGGCTGGAAGAAGGGAGCAGGTTCTTCTGCTTGAGCTTCTTCAATTCACTCACTGGCACCTTAGCCCAAACCACCCACGAATGTGAGTTTGTGCTAATATGCAAGAGGAATGGCAATACTTGAAATACAATGAAACATTTCCCTCTGCCACCTGTACTCCCAGGTTTACCAGGATAAGGATTTCAGGTTGAATACAGCATTATAATCAGGGGTTTCAGTGAGTAATAAAGATACGCATGAGCAAAGACAATCTCCTACCTAAAGAACAGAAAATCTGAAACAGATAGGTGGAGTCACAGTGGGCAATCACTGCTCCTTGGCTAAGGCTCCATAATTATGGAATTACCTTCTAGAAAACCAAAGATCTCACCAGCTACATAGTGAATGATAAGATATATCTCTGCACATTAGTAGCTGGAAAATAAATGCTAAGGGTTGGGAACGTCAAGAGGGGCACCATTGTCAAACAGGAGCTAGTGATGCAAGATTAAGCAAAATGCAGCTATTTTAATGCATGATTTAGAAGAAGAAAACAGTCATCACTGCTGCTAGAATCTCTTTGAATTAGGGAGTACTGACATCACTTCAAACACCAAAGGTTTGAATGATACCACTGATAGAGCTGTCTGGCCACGGACATCAGCTCATTAGCATCTTGGAGGGGCAGCTGGGGCCACTCAGTGGTGATCTCTTGCTTGCTAGAGAATCAGAAGAAATAAAGAAATACTGAGCACTGGAAGAGACCCATATGCAATGCCTGGCCGAGGCCAAAGGCATGTTTGTATTGAGAGCGATAAGGAAGAGGGGGAAGTATAAAACCTCTTGTTTTCCCCTTGTTTTTCAAAAAGATCGATTGATATGGCCATCAAAACCACACTCATGCCAGTGGGCTACGAGAGAAGGCAGTCAACAGCCCTACGCGGTCACCAGCTGTAGGTGCTGCAGGAAATCAGATAGAGGCCATTTCCACCATGCCGTAACCACCTCTCACTTGGAATCTGCCTTTCCTTTGGTACCAAGAATTATGTGTTGTTGATGGAGGAAAGATTTCCCCCTCCCTTTTGTTCTCATTTTGGTCCTTAGGTGATGTGGGATTTATTTGATTTCTATTTTGTTATCGGAAGTACAAAAATCTTTCATTTGTATAGAGGTATCCATTTCTTCTATCTGCTAATTTCAACAGCCTTCTTGGGTGTCTCTTTTCTGTCCCGTCTTCCATCATCACACTACCACATAAGAAGCAGACAGGTGAAGGGAAGGTAGCCTGTTAAATAGATTTCTCATAGTAGATTTTTATCATGATAGCCTATAGGGCCAACAATGTGAGTGCTCTTCAGTTGTCTCTATTTTTGATGTATTTTTATCAAAAGCATTTAAAAAAAATGTAAGAGAAACTTGATTCCAGTCACGTGGAAGCTTGTCCGTTCCTTATGTATCACTTAGTCCATTCCTAATGAACCACTGAAGACCACTTTCTCTGCAGTAAAAATTCTTCAATTTCCATTGAAAAAAAAAATCTACTTTGAATATTTTTTTAAGTTCAGACCAATGTACTATTTAAGATTTAGACATAAATGGATTCCTTCCTAAAAAAAAAGTCCAGAGGAAAGCCTATGTACCACTGAAGTTTCATATGAACATTTTTCACACTTGACTCTCTATGCGATGTTCATTTTTGCAAATTCTTTTGCGAAGACTCCCATGGCACTGTGACCAGAGAAGGCGATCGTTTATATGTATCAGTATCTCCCAAACATGAATTTTTTGGCTGACAATTAAAAAAAGAGAGACCCGAACATTGTGTGCACAACAGACTCGCCAGCCTACAGAAAATATCCAACTGCCAGTGATCTTGCCAACAACTGACTCTCTGACAACGAAGATACTTCCTTCAGTCTGATGGGACTGAATTCAGCCCTTAGGAACATTACTAACATCAAAGGGAAACACTTATACAAACACCAAAGAAAGCGTAAAGCCTGTATTGATTTCAGTTAAAAATGGTTTTATAAGAGTGCGTAAAACAATTCAAGTCTGTTGGAAGAGCTGTCAGGGCATAGTTTTAAAAGATTCTAAATTAAACAAAATATTCCAGGGACATTTTGTTCTTCGTTATTTAACAAGGCAGGCACACTTTCTTTTCTTCTGTGGTAAATATATAGTGAGCTTAACATGAACAAATCCATCTGATGGTTCCTCAAATTCTCATTTCAGGTCTAACACACAAATGCAGATAATATCTAATTTTATATTAAACAATATGCATGGAGAAATCTCTACTAATGATTATGAGAGTAGAGAAGAAAGTCTATAAAATATTGAAGGGTTTTAATGGACTTTTTGAATTGACTGAGTTCCTTCTTTTCCCTTATGATACAGAAGACTGACAAAAATTATCAGTCACTGATGATGATACACATCCATTTACTAAAAACAGGAAGCTAAAGGGGAAGTGGAACATTTGGGGAGTCAGGCATCAGAAAACACAGCAAATATTTACTGACTCTTACTTATAATCCTTTTGCACTTTTTCTATAGGCACTTAATCTTTCTTGCACTGTCTGGGGAGATCCTACCCCAGAGGTCTCATGGCTGAAGAATGAAAAAACATTTGTATCAGATGCTAATTGCACCCTGAAATTTGAATCTGGAAAAAATGTCAGCTTTACCATTTCTACTGTGTCCACACTCGACTCTGGGAAATACAGCATTGTGGTGAAGAACAAGTACGGCACAGAGACCAGCGATGTCACTGTAAGTGTGTTCATACCTGAGGAAGAGAGACAGTCTGAGCAAGAGAAAAAGAAAGAAGATAAGAAAACGAAAGCGTGAATTTAAGACTAGGAAACAGAAGTATGGGGGAGATTTTGGATGATAGGCTGACATAATCTGTGTGTGTAAATGGCTTTCAGCTTTAGCAGGCAGCCTTGGATTTTTCCATTCACTTCACTTTTGCTTCTAATACACTTAATTGTGCCAGAGAAAACAGGGCCTTTCATAAATGTTTTCTTACTGCTAACGTCACAGCACCTAGTTGTAGCGTCTTCAGCCAGGCCAAATGCATGTTGGCTGTAAACACAGGTCTGCCATTTGACCCTCGTCTTCCTGGAGCATTTGACCCTA